CATATGTTTTCATTATGCATATTTCATATGGTTCCCCTGTCTTCCGTCTCTTATTATTCTCGGTTCTTCGGTTGTTCCTTTCATAATTTGTTTATTTCACTTATTTGTATTTGCCTATCTCGTCGTTGTTCATTAGTTTGTTCTTCCTCTTCCATTTTCATGGTCGTGTCCTGTTTGGTCTATTCCGTGTTCATAATTTGTTATTGCTCTTCCTTACTTCATATGTTCTTCCTATTTGGCCTGTCTATTACGTGTCCATAATATTATGAAATATGACATTATGCCTTTTTTTCCTTCTCACAGACCTTACTCCTTCTTCGACACAGCTTCTATACCATTGTAACCCCCCAAATCCTCCCCCAAAACAGCTGATCCTCCCATGAAGCGGTGCGAGGACAAGAACCGCTTCTGCCACTCTTGGGCCGAAATGAACAGCTGCGTGACCAACCCCGACTACATGCTCGTCTATTGCAAGAAATCGTGCAAGCAGTGCTAATCTTGGATGCTGGTACTGGTGCTGGGAATTCTTGTGTCGTTCGTGGAAGATTGGAGACTAACCCTGATTTCTTCTCTTTTTCTATCGATTTCTCTTTCTCTCTCTGTCTCCTGTCTCTGTCTCTGTCTCTTCTCTCTGTCTCTGTCTCTCTCTCATCTCTCTCTCTCTCTCTCTCTCTCTCTCTCTCTCTCTCTCTCCTCTCTCTCTCTCTCTTCTCTCTTTCTCTCTGTCTCTGTCTCTGTCTCTGCCTCTGTCTCTCTGTCTCTCTCTCTCTCTCTCTCTCTCTCTCTCTCTCTCTCTCTCTCTCTCTCTTTCTCTCTCTCTCTCTCTCTCTCTCTCTCTCTCTCTCTCTCTCTCTCTCTCTCTCTCTCTCTCTCTCTCGCTCTCTCTCTCTCTCTTCTCTTTCTCTCTCTCTCTCTCTCTCTCTCTCTCTCTCTCTCTCTCTCTCTCTCTCTCTCTCTCTCTCTCTCTCTCTCTCTCTCTCTCTCCTCTCTCCTCCCTCCTCTCCTCCTTCCCTCCTCTCCTCCCTCCCTGCTTCGTCCTTTTGCCATGGTAGAATCTCCTGCAGAAGATGAACTTTCTATGAACACAAGATCACGAAGCGTTTGTTCTCTGTAGAAAGAAAATATTGCAAATGGTTGATTTCTTCCATGTTCATGTGTTTATGTACGATATATGTTTATATACCTTTTTATGTGTCTGTTTCCTTTTTTGATTGTTTGTATGGAGTAATTGTGTGCATTCGTATGCGCGCGCGTGTGTGTGTGTAAGCGGGTATGTATGTGCAGATGTCTACATTCACACACACACACACACACACACACACACACACACACACACACACACACACACACACACACACACCATGAACATTTGTATGACTGTATTTAAATCAGAACTAATTACATTAGTTCTTAAACAACATGCCAAAGAGCACACTATTAATCCTGGTAACTAATTGAATTTACAATATGTAGGTCAAATATTTATTGCATCATCACAATATCATTTTACTAGCATATTGTGGAAGCTCTGAAATATAAGAAAAAAATGAAGATGAGTGATTTTTTTTTTCCAACATATACGTTCCATTCTGCTTTGGTTCATTCACTTTTTTTCAAAGCGTACAAGACTAATGATGAAAGATTACAAAGAAAATAACAGCAGCCAAAGTAATGCTTCAACCACATATCAATATACAGTACTCCCATACATACTCAAACACACACACACACACATATACATATAACATATACATATAACTGTGAATATACATGCAAAAATATATATGTATATGTATATTTATATATGTATACATAGAAAATAACATACATATATATATATATATATATATATATATATATATATATATATATATAAAACAAGGAGCAATTACCTCGCGTCTATGAGGAGTAGCTTCCCTCCATCATTATTCTTCAATATAAGGTGTCTTCCTAACACCCTAAGCTGACCACTCAGCTCTTGGAGGGTCCATCCTCAATATCATACCTTTCATCACCATCATTCTTATCAACGCAATCATCTTTTATCATCAACATCACCATCATCACCAACTCATCACACTTTCGTTAAAACACCCAGAAGAAAAATCCGATAAGTGGACGCTTCTCGGACTCCTGCAACAGGTGGCTCAGCGGTGACAGTGGACTCACACAAAACCTCCGAAATCTTGGTCCTCACCAGTCCTCTTCCTCTGCCAAGCCGTCGTCCTGTGAGCCAGTCCTGTTCGTGCCTGGGAGATAGAACCATTTCTCTACTTGTCTTTTTTTGGAAGTTCCTCTAACCGTTTCGTCGTCTTATGGCTGCACTGGTGTTGTTTCAGGACTTTTTTCTTGTGTCCTGTGATAAAGATCCAGCTATTCAGGGCTAACTTCCTCTCGCCCGCCAGCTTTCTCTCCTCCAAATATCAGATAGGAGAAGTCCTTTGCTCTTGCTTTGCAAATCACGTTCACTTCAGACTTGCAACCTGCCTTGATCCAGCCG